ATAGTCTCCCAAGTGCTGGGATTACAGGTGCATGCCTCCATGCCCAGTCTCAGTTGTCATCTCAGTGTGCTTCGGGGTTTGGGGCCAGCACAGCAGGCCCAGGGATCAAACTACTGGCCCCTGCACCTGCTTGCAAGTACTTTAATCCGCTGAGCTATATGCCAAGGATTGAACCCTGGCTTCTACACTCTGCCAAAGCAGGTGCTTTAGTCAGCTGAGCTATCTGGCCAGCCCCCCAAATAAAGTTTTTTTAAAAAAAAGTTAAAGCACTTAAGGCTTTAAATGTAATAAAATATGATTATTATTATAATGATTATAAATAACCACAACCAACAATCCTAGCTTATTTGGGACTTGGGGTTCTTTTTTTTTTTTTCTGTCTTGTAATAAAATATGATTAACATAATGTTTAAAATTAATCACACCCAACAATACTACCTTCTTTAGAAATTGTGGGGGGGGGTTTTTTTTTGTCTTGATTTTTGCAGTACTAGGAATCAAACTCTGGACCTTGCACTTGCCATGCAGGCACTTTATGCTGCTAGCTATATCCCCAGCTAGGGGTTTTCTAAGTAGGATTTGCAGTGCTATAACTGGAAAGCAGTTTTAAAAACACGATCTTTCAGCAGATTGTATTTATTTATTTATTTATTTATTTATTTATTTGTATTTAGGGAAGGATCTACAGGGTGCTCAGGGTCTCACTACTAGATCGGACTCATAGTGATCTGCCTGTTTACAGCCTCCCAGGAGCTGAGATTACAGGTGCATGCCACCACGCCCAGTCTCAGTTGCTGTCTCAGCACGCCCCAGGGACAGGGCCAGCATGGCAGGCCTGGCCACTGAGCCTGCTTACAGGCACTTTAATCTGCTGAACTATTTGGCTGGTCCCTATTGTAGTATTTAGACACTTGATTCATTTTTATTTTCGTACATAGAAATACGGATCTAGATTCAGTCTTCTGTGTGTGTGTATCGCCAGTTTTCGAGCACCATTTGTTAGACACTGTCTCCTCCACTGTGCTTTGGCCCCTTTGTCAAAGATCAGGGGGCAGAAGATGCCTGGGATTGTTTCCCATCCTCTATGCTGTTCCACTGATAACACATCTGTGCCAGTAGCATGCTGTTTTATCACTGTAGTTAGGCAAGGACTTTCTAAGCAGAACTCCAATTACATAGGAAATAAAATAATCAACAAATGGGATTGTATGAAACAAAGTCCTCTAATAGCAAAGGAAATGAACAGTGAAAAGTTTAGAGGTAACCTACAGAATGGAGGAGAGGGATGCCAGCTCTTCCTTGGACAGAGGACTAATACAATACAGAAAGAAAAAAATTAGGCCCACCCAAAATAAAAGACCAAGTACGAATGGCCAAGACACATGAAAAATGTTCAGTATCCCTGCTTTCAGAGATACGTAAATTAAAACATTTATGATACCACCTTACTCCAAAAGACTGGTTATCACCAGCAAAATGAATAACAAGATGCTGGGGAGCCTACAATAAAAAAAAAACCTCTTCCATATTATTAATGTGAAATATATACTAGCAAAATCACTACTGAAGTCAGTATAGAGATTCCTCAAAAAAACTAAAACTAGACATTCCATTCAAACCAGCTATTCCCTTCCTAGGTATTTTCTTAAGAGTTAAAGACATCATATTAGAGATAACATACCTATGTTTATAGCGGCACAGTTCATAACAGCTAAACCTTGGAAGCAGCCTTTCATCACCAGATGAACAGAAAAAGTGGTATTTATACCCACACGAGTACCACGCTGCAGACGGTAACAGAGGCACTTGGAGGAAAACAGATGCATCTTTAGACAGTAACGTTCAGTGAAATAAAGCAGACACAAAACCTTGACATTGCATGTTTTTAAGTGAGAAACCAAAAGCGTAAATATATTAGCAAAATAAAAGAGGAATCAGAAATCTTTCACAAGTGAAAGGGGACCAAGTGGCAGGTATGTTAAAAAGAATTAAAATTCTTTAATTTTAATTGTGGGGTACCGCTCCTCACAATGAATGTAATTATTGCAGCAAATATGTACTAATAAAAATTCAGTGTAGGTTAAAAATACACATATAATATGGTAGAAGCAAATTCAAGTTCATGACCTCTCCTGGAAACACTAAAAAGCAAGGTCATGAATCCGCTTTAATCAGAAGTCTGAAACAATGAAAATTGTGGAGCAACCAAGCAAACACTGAATCTCTGTGAAACTGAGCTAGGCTTGAGGGGCTGAGGATACTACTCAATAGTCGAACATGTGATCAATATGCGAAGCCTGTAAAATAAAATTCTGAAAAACTGAGCAAAGCATCTCAATATCAGATGATCCTTCCGCCACAGCAACCACTGAAGAACAGCCATGGTCCTCCGCTTTCCCATGGCTGTGGGCCTCATCAAGGGCCACAAGGTGACTAAGAATGTGAGCACACCCAGTCACAGCCGCCATCACAGATGCCTCCTCGCCATACACACCAAGTTCGTGTGGGACGTGATCTGGGAGGTGTGCAGCTTTGTCCCCCTACAAGCAGTGTGCCATGGAACTGCTCAAGGTGTCCAAGGACAAACGTGCCCTCAAGTTCATCAAGAAAAGGGTGAGGACACACATCGGCGCCACATGCTGGCCGCCATGAGGAAGGCAGCTGCCAAGGACTGAGCCCCTGTGGAATAAAGCTTGCACAAAGTTAAAAATAAATATCAGAAGAGGATCAATGTATTATTTGCTCAGTTAGATGGCTGTACTAACCTAAAAGCAGCACCTAAATGTTGCCATCTCGCAGGCTTTTCCTTGAGAAAGACTGGAACCTGCTAGAGAACCTGACCGAGACACACATGTTTGGCTCCCCAGAAAGCCCATTTAAACAACCCTAAGCACAACTTTCCAGTTGAAAGCTTTACAAGCTGTTGCCTTCATTTAACCATAGCGAGCTAAGTTTTATCAGATGTCCCAGAAAGGCCTATCACATAGAAAACAAGTAAATACAGGCGCACACACACAAAAAAAGTTTCAAGAAAACAATTTCAAAAGGAAAAAAAAAATCCTTATACCTTTAGTGGCAACAATAAATGCAGAGAGAGGGATATACAAGAAACAAAGACACTACATAAGAAGGAACTTACACAGGTCAAAAAAAGTCCATTTAAATGGCAAAGAATTGCAAGATAAAGCTAGGGCTAAAAACAAAACAAAAAAAAATAGTTTTAAAAAAAGATACACAGTACTGTACAGGATATCTAAACTCCAAGTATCAGGAAGAAGCAGAGAACTCAACAAATGTTCTTTCCCAAGAACAGTGAGAACTACACTTAAAAGTATCACCAACACCCTAAAACAATGGATAAAAACACACACTAAACCAAATCACTAAAAATTTCAGTACTGTGACAACTAAAACTTAAAAGCTATGTATTTTAAGGAAAAGCAATCACAATATTTCAATTTCTCAATACAACAGAGAAACATAGACAATGAAGCAATTCCTTTAAAAGTATCAAAGAAAATTATCTTCCACCTAAAATGACATTACCAGTGAAATGATATACCTGCGAGGTCTCAAGACTCTGGCTGCCATACTTTTCTCCAGAAGCAACCAAAGGACATACTCCACTAAAATGAGTTAGTGGTCAGCAAAGTGAAAACACAATTCAGTACACAATACAGGAAGAAGTCCCAAGACAGGTAGGCACTGAGACACCAAGGTTCAGTTGACAAGCTCAGGGTGTTTTTGAGGGTGCTTTCAAGATCCACGTTACTGCTGTACTTGATTATATGTAAGCTAGTCTCTACCAGCATGTTGAAATGGCACAGTTACTGCCATGTCAGACCAAAGATTAGGAGCAGTTTATTAATAAAGCCAGCCATCAGACCCTTCCTAGGTTACAGATCCTAAATGTCCCGCTGGCATTCAAACACTCTTCCCAATCCTTATCAGAAACATATCTGGCCTCCTTTTTTGTCTCTGCTTAACTACCTACATCTTAACAAGAGTGGAGAAGGTGTGAAGGAGTTACATCTTAACAAGGGTGGGGCAAGACTCAAGGAGTGACATCTTAACAAGAATGGAAGGGGCCTGCCCCTTAGCTCAGTTCTTTAAGTGGCTGCTTCAACAAAGCAGTCAGTTGCTGTGGTTCGATCCCCCCAACTCAAGCCAGCCAAACCTGCCCTGAAGGTGTTTGGAGAAAAAAAAAAAAAACAAGGATGGAGGCTAACCCAGAGCTTGTGCTAGGATAAAGTGAACCCAACTGAGAGCCACCATCCCCTACAATGTGATAAATCATTTTGCAACCCACACTTAGTTACACGGATTACCAAGGACACTCACACCACTCCCTGGAAGCATTCTACCTTGACTGACTCCTAAGAGCTAGTTTGATTCACCATGCTCTTAAAAAAAAAACAAAAAATGTCATTTATTGCCTCTAACTACGTTTCTGTTAGAGTTGCCCAGTTAACTCTAACAGAACCCAGATGCTTTAGAGTAAGTCTTCTGTTCAGAGAATTTGCTCATAACCTTAGCATGAACTTCTTCAGAAGTGCTTTTGTACTTTCAGGGACACTAAAACCACTCTGATCAAAGACTGTGATGTTCTTCTTGAAATGTTTGTGAAATAACAAAATCCTTTCATACTTGTTAATAAGCTTTTCCAAACTAAATATATTGTTCAGGAATGTATAGACAGTAAACTAAGTCACCAGGGAATGATTTACAGTCGGGATGACGTCTATCTAGGAGGGATATGACACACAGTTGTCTTCTTAGATCTTAGTAAATGCTCTATTTCCTAACCTGACAGTGGGCTCATTTTAATTCATGCTCTGTTCTATAATTATTTCATTCACAATTTAAGCATAACATCCCACCCATGTCCCCAGTTCAGGCCCATGCTGGCTGAAGCCCGTTCTGATGATGCTGTCTTCCGCTGTCGCTTTGCCTCCATGAAGGAATGAATACTGGAGCATTTGGCACGTACCTTCTCATTTTGTGTAATAAACTGCTATGAAAATTTTATTTTCTGAAAAGTAATTTACAAAAAGAATGCTTAATTTAAGGATTATGTTCTTATAAATAAAATTACATTGGTTTAATCCTCTGAAAGACGATACATCCTCCTGGAGTAACCAGAGGCTTCTCAGAATCAGGACTTCTTCGATGCTTCGATTTCATCCCATAGTGCAGCCTGAATTTTTGAAGTATCATATTCCCTCATCATGTCATACTCAAGCCACGGCTGACTCCACTTCCGAGCTTCCTCCATTTGTTCTTCAGTTAAACACAGATCAAATCGGATTCCTTTAATATTAAAATATGGGCGCTCCCAACGTTTGGACCAAGGCTTAGGCTTCATTTTTACTTTCAGCTAAGGAAAAATGAAGAAAAGGATGAGCTTAGGCTGCCAAGACGTAAGCCAAATTTCTCCTGTAGCTTTCACTGAGACAATTCTCTCTTACTTTATACTTTCATTGCCAAATGCGCAACCTGTACCTTATTAACAGGAACTTCTTTGTCATACTCTGGTGCCTCTGGCTTCATATTCACATCGAAAGTGCTATACTCAGGGAGGGCATCTCGTAAGTACAGCAAGCTGTCATCCAGCCGTTTCTCTAATTTGACCACCTGGATCTCATGGATTCGAGGATTGTACAGATCAAAGCAAATCTCAACACCTAAAAAGATAACATATTCCCACAATCTTAAGTCCAGAGGCCTGTAAATCTGTCAAAATAGTAAAAGCTGTTTTATAAAGGAACTAGTACAGCGTTTTTCAGGTGGGAAATGTGAGATGGCTACTAAAAAAAATTGAAAATTCATTTAAATAAAAACTAAAATACATAGAAAAATGAGAAAACCTAAATTAAGTCAAAAAAAAATGTCTTCTGTAAATACATTGTCATGTATCTCTTCAATTCTCAGAGGCATTTAGAGAAAGTATGAATACATCACTACATCATGCTCTCATTTATATCCCAATTACTTCATTAAAAATTTTCCCAAACTAACAAGACTAATATTTTTAAAAAAGTATAATTTTATCAGCTGTGAAACTATCTCATTCATATTTATTTCTCAATAAAAAGTAAATTTTTTTTTAAAAAGTATAATATTAAGTTTTAACTCTGGTGTAGAAGTTCCTCTTAAAGATGGCCCAGCCCATTTTTAACACAATGGCCTTCCACGTGAAGCAAGATAGGTATTACTTTGAATATATCAAATTAGTATTAAATAGTAATTTAATATATGCCAGGTAGGAGTGTCTTAAGAGGTTTTCTGAAATATATATGAAGACACATAAAAATCCTATTATGTATGATAAAGCTTCTAGTGTTTTATAACAGGATTTGATCCAATATTTACTATACAAATCTATTTTATTCTAAGCACTGATCTAAAACTGTGCCTATAGCAAATTAAAAATAAGTTAAAATCTTTTTCTCATAAAGCTTAAATTCTAAGTAGATGATAAAAACAAAACAAAAATGCCAACGAGGTAATTGCATATAGCAAGGACAAAGGGGACAGAGTGACGACATTGCTGGGGAAGGTCCACCATAAATAGTAGTCCGAGGAAGTCGCTCTGAAATGACATATTAACTGATGCAGTAAAGGACCAAGAATGCTCCAGGCATAAAGAATAACAAATACAAAAGTTCTGAGATGTTAAAAACCTGTGTGTTGGAAAAAGCAGGGATGAGCCCCATTTGGCAGGACCACAGGAACTTGGTAAGCAAGGTGCTTTGGCTTGAATGTGTCCCTCCAAAACACACGCTGAAATCCCCAGCTATCGTGGTATTAACGGGGTCCTTCGGGAAATGACGAGGGGCTCTTTCCTCATACAGTGTCTTAAGGAGAGGGACAAAACTTAGCTCTGGGCTATTTCTGTACTTCTCTCTTCCGCCAGGTGATAACCCCATATTTGCCCCCTCCAGAGCTCACAGCAACAGGCGCAATCTTAAAAGCAGGGAACAGGGCCCTCACCAGACAGGTAATCTGCCCTAATCCTGGACTGTTCAACCTCCTGACCTGTGAGAAGCAAACCTCTATTCTGTATAAATGAGAGCAGTCTGGGCATTTACTTTTAGCAGCACAAACAGATTAAGACACCAGGCGCATCATGGTGCTTATCTGAGTGTTCTCAAAAGTTATTCCTTAAAGAACTATCCCTACACGGCTTTATAGTGACTTGCTTCCTCACTTGATGCTGCCACGTTGGGGAGTCTAGTTCTAATGGCTGCTCACGCTAAGAAAAGAAGCCTCCGCGAGCATGCAGACCACCAGCTGTACTTAAGGAAGCGACCACAATTCCCAGTCCGTTCTAAGACCACAGACTCCCATTCTCTTACAGCATCTACTGTAATGAATGTTGACATTCAACTTTCAGACATCTTGTCTAAAGAAACAGAGAAAAAGGAATCCTGAGGTAGCATTTCCTAGACAATTAAAATAATAACACACACCTTGTCTTTCAATAGTATTCCTAAGAGTAAAAGTAGCTCCGAGTCCACTTCCTGATCTCTGGATACAAATTCCCAGAAACTGGCTGATTTTTCCTTGGGCATACGGGTCAGCTGTAGTAACGCGTAGTATGCTTCCTACAAATTCATAAGAGAATCAAATTCTTTTAAGAAATACAAAAACAAAAATAAATAAATAAATAAAATGTTGGCTTAAGATGTGGTATGTACATGTACCAACTCCCCAAGATGAATATACAGTCATTATGCATCACAAACATGTATTACAAATAAAAAATAAATGGATAAAAAAAAGAAATACAAAAACAAATAATGTTACTGGATAATTTACCTTCTACATATTGCACTGTCAGAAGTACCCCAAAAGGGTAAGAATACAGACATGTGAAGAACAATCTCTTATACAAAGAAAACTAAACCTCCAACTAACAAGGCAGAAAGAGTCCAGCTCTTACTGACCAACATAGAACTCTGGGATGTGGAGCACTTTTCTCCTTTCTAACATATCTTTTCTTTCTACTTGAAATTTCAGAGGATCTGTTCTTCCCCTTGGAGGAATGAATTCAGGACTCAAGAATCTGTGAAAATATAAATAATAAATGCAGACTTAAGCAATAAGAAAAAAAAATGTTGCTTTACAAAGAAATGAAGAATACAGTGTTGACAGATTTTATTCATTTTCTAAATTCTCATTTTGTTTTCATTTTTGGTTTTGTTTGAGACAGGGTCTCACTATGCAGTTCAGGCTGGCCTCAAACTCAGACCTATGTATCCTAGGCTGGTCTTGTTATTATTTTAATTGGCTGGAAATGTTATCTCCTCCTGCCTCAGCCTCCAAAGTGTTGGGATATGCCACCCTGCCCACTTCATTTTCTAAATAAGCTAATGTTATTTTTAAAGCTGTTCTTGTAAAAAAAAATTGCTGATACTCATCATAGCTAACAATTAGAGTACTCCTGGCATTTTATTAAAAGCGTCCCAAAACATGCAAATAGCTACTATGATTTAGATCTTAAATGTCCACCCCAAAGGCCCATGTGCTAAAGGTGTGGATGCCAACCTATGGTGCTGCTGTGGGCTCGCGGGGATGGTGGGACCCAGCCCTTTCTGTTTCCTGGCCAGCATGGCGTCAGCAGTTTCACCTATCATGCACTGCTGCCGTAAAGTACTCTATCTCCACAGGCCCAAGGAGAAAGAGACAGCTCAAAGCAACCATGTACTGGAAACATGAACCAAAAGAACCTCTCCACCTGTAAGCTGAGTACCTCGGGTATTGTATCACAGTAATGAAATGCTAACACAGTAGCACAATGTAATCTTACAGCACAGGTAAGTTTTGTGTCATCAGACAAAGAAACTAAAGCTTGAAGAGGGCAAATAACTGACCCACTATTCTATTAGCTATAAATCTGTCAAGCCAGATTTCAGTATAGGTATGTCAGTCTCCAAAGCCTATGGGTCTACCCAAAGACTTCACACTAAGCTAAATTACAGGAAATTATGCTGGAAAAGACATGCCAATTGCACCTTGATTTCAAAATTAACATTCTTATTTTCTTTAACTGCTTTTAAACTCATTATAAAGCATTAACATATTGAAAAAGTGCATTACAAGAAATATGACCCTGGCACTAATCTCAAGAACCAAATTATCAACATAGTTGGAGCTTCTACAGATCCTTCTTTCTTCCTATACTTAATTACTATCCTAGACTTATGACTAGGGCTAAATTTATTATAACATTATAGTTAATTATTTTCTTGATTATTACCAAGAATTTTTTTCCTTTAATTTTCTATTTTGAAATTTTTCAAGCTCATCAAAGATGACATAATGCAAAAAAACCCACCAATCTATTCTTCATCAGACTTTACCAACCACTAAAACTTTGCTCTATTTGCCTATTTCCGAGGCCATCTGGAATGTCAGAAAGGCATGTCATTCATTATTCAACCACTAAGAAGGCTTAATGCTGAGAACAAGGACTTTCATCTACATTATCATAATACCTTTGTGACAGCTAAGAAAATTAGCACTAATTCCATAACGTACAGTGGTACTTCAGTTCATAAATATAACCTTAATGCTTTTCTTTCCTCTGAGAGTCAAACACCACACTGGTCACAAACTGAATCAAATTCAACAGGCAGATTCAATGGTGACCTTTGGGGAAGATTTGCTTCTTTTTGTGATCAATTGAGTTTGCTACCAGAATGGTGGAAAGAATTAAGTTTGTGAGCTAAGGTATCACTGTAACTTAACACCTAGCTCATATTCAAATGTACCCACCTATTCCACAAAGGTCTTGTATCTGCTGCCCAATTCAAGACATAATCACAACTCATGCTTTGTGTTTGGGTTTCAGTCTCTTACACTAGTCTCTTACTGGTATTCACTAGCTTCATATTTTTACAACACTGATTTTTTTTTTTTTTTTTTTTTTAAGTTAAGGCATGCTGTGTTATGGACCATTGCTGGATTCTAGATTTATTGTTTCTACATCCCTAAACTAAGTTTAAACATTTTTGGTAAAAGTATTGCAGAGATGATGAGAACACCTTATTCTGTCATCATCTGAAGGAAATACTGTCAGATTGTACCACTTTTGGTAAAAAAATAAGGTTTCAACATTGGTCAAAGGAGAATGGCCTTCCTGCATTTCTTAATTCATTTACATCTCATGCATAAACATTTTTATGTACTACATAAGGGCCCCTACATAAGGTGGTTTTTTTACACATTTGTGAAATTCATGTAGGTTTTTAAAAGTTAGCTTTGTCTCATTCACTTTCACAACCATGTAATAGTCCAACGTGTGATTAAATTTGCCTGTTCACCTATATATAGGCCAGCTCTAAACCTCTATTACAATACTGTTACACTCACTCCTAGACAAAGTCCCCTGTATAAGACATTAGTTACCTTATGTACTCTGCCTACTAGGTACAAAGGTGTATACAACTTCAAATGGATTAAATTCTGCCACGTTGTTTTCCAAAGTATAAAGTTACATTCCCATTTCACTAAGTTTTATTAAGCCTTGGGCTTGAAGAGTCAGATACCTTGCCAGGTACTGAGGTGCAACACTGTAATCCCAACACTCTGGGAGGCCCAGGGCAGGAGGATCACAAGTTTGAGTGGGCAACTTAACCAAGACTATCTCAAAATTTAAAAAAATAAATGAATAAAATAATAAATGCTGGCGATTTTGCTTAATGTAAAGACTCTGGGTTTAATCCCCAGTCCTGAAAAAAATGTGAGGAAGAGGCAGATTCTTCACACAAAAAATCAGTTTATAAGGAAATAACTTTTTAATCTGTAGGTTAGTGTTATAGAACGTTTTATAAAGTTTTAATTTTTTTTTTAAAGCCCAGAAAAGACGCACACCAAAGTTTTCCTCCTAAAACTGCCTCGTCAAAGAATGTTTTCACCTAGCTGGGAGGAGAGGAACAGGTCTGCAATCCCAGCACTTGGGAGGCTGAGACACGAGTCCAAGGCAAACATGGACTACAGAGACCCCGTCTCAAAATAAAGACAGACAGACAAAAATGTTTTCACCAAGCTCTACAGAAACGGCTCAGCTAAGTCTTACTTGGATTATTTAAATTTACACGAAACTCCCGGGTTATCAACAAGTCATATCAGTGAATGAGAACTGTATTTGCACTGCTTGGAAGACCACAACTTAGACCCAAATCTGCGTTTCACTACTGTACTCCATCTGCCAGGAGTGCCCTCCAAAGCACGTTAAATTTGGGCCGACTGATTGCTAGCCAAACTAAGGGCTTTAGGGAGACAGGATTGGCCCCGGATTGGGACTACGAATACGCGGCGTCCCGGAGCGGAAGGCACCACGGAGGAGAGCGCTTCAGGCCCGGGGTCCGCTCCTCCGGGGGGTCCGCTCCTCCGGGGGGTCCGCTCCTCCGGGGGGTCCGCTCCACCGGGCCGCCCGCGGTCGGGCAGGGGCGAACAGGGCCAGCACACGGCCGGCGCCCCGACCCGGCCTCACCTCCTGTCCTCGCTCGGCGCTTGGCGCTTGTCCACGATGACCGGTTTCTGCGGCGGCCGGAAGGCGCCGGGCTCGGAAGGCCCACTGCTCTGCTGCCGCGCCGGCGCCGGGCGGGCCCCTAGGAGAAACCCGCGCAGGTTACGCCGGGGCTCGCAGAGGCCCACAGCTCCATCCCCTGCGGACGCACAGCGGGGACGCCCGGACCGCCCTGAGCGCCTCCCACCAGCCTGACCCTGGACTGCTCCCGTTCCTCGGCGAAGGGGCGCCGGCTCCACTTACAACGTGCGACAGAGGACAGCCCAGGAAGCAGCACTCTAGACACTGGGAAACTCATGGCCGAGCCCAAGGTGGCCCCGTGTCTGCCAACACAAGCCGCCATGCTGGCTCGTACAAGTCAGGACTACAACTCCCAGAAATCAATGCGAGCAGTCGCAGCAACCTGCTGCACGGTGGCGGCTGTTAAGGGACAAAACAGCTAACTCTCCACCTTGGCGTTCCCTATTGGCTGTCCAGGGAGAAGTACATTCTTTCCTAAATTCCCCATAATGTGTCAAGTTGCATTCCTCATTCTTCCACAGGATATGCTCAGAGACTCTCTGCTTCAGTTCTCTTAATCAACTGTTTACACTTTCTCAGGAAGCCTTTCCCATATTAAAGCCCTATTGTAGACTCATTCCTAGGAGTTACTCCCATTAGCTGCTCATATCGCATTTGCAATTTCCCTCACATAATTCTTAGATTGGTATTTAACTCTTCTGTTATTCTCTAAATTCTAAGAGGTGAGACCCAAAGTCTTTTTCTGTCTTTTACCTAGCAAAAACCTGCTCTTCACTAACCCTTCCTTGAATGCACAGCAAGGGGAAGAAAATAATTCCTGGAACAGCTTCTACAAAGCCCCTTAACTTACAGAGAGCATTAACCGTTTGATAGACTAAAACTTAGTTTTGTCTGGGAAACTGGAAGAGATGTAACTTTAAAAAGAGTACATTTGCCCTGGGTTCCATCCACAGAACCAAAAAAAGAAAGAAGGGAAGGTAGGAAGAGGGAAGGGAGGGAGTAGAGGAAAGAGAGGGAAAAAGGAAGATGGGAAAAAGAAAACGCTTTCAGAAAAGTAAGCTACTGAAAATATTTAACATTGGAATAATGTGATTATCAGGCATTCCAATTGAAATAATACCCAAATATATCCCATATTCAATATAGTCATACTGAACACATCATATTCACCTCTTAAATTCCTCCCCAGTAATAGCCATTCAGGCAGTGGCTTCAATATCCGTTCTGTTGCTCTGGCCAGAAGTCCCAGTGCTCTTCTTGATTTTTACCTACACCTTTCCCTAGGTAAAGTTTCTAAAATTATGCCTGGCACTATCAAATATCCCCAAACTTGTTACACCTTCTCCTCTTCTTGTCCATATTTCTAACCAGGTCACTGTCCTTTTCCCTAAGGATCAGTGTACATCCTTGTACTGCCTTCTCATTGGTAATCTTCCTCTAGTTACCTATAGCTCTTCACACAAAAACCAAAAACATAAGCCCACAAGGTGGTACACACCTGAAACCTCAACCTCTCAGGAGGCAGGTAGGTGACAAGCCTGGGAAATTTAGTGAGATCCTGTCTCAAATCAGTAACAATTTTTTTAGTGAAAAGGTCAGAATGTAACTCATTACTATAAGAACACCTGCAGCCAATTCACATTACCACCAAAACCAAAGAAAACATGCCTACTTCTTCTTGTCTTTCCCCCATTTAAAGTTTTCCATAGTTTGGAAGTGGATAAAAACTAATTCGCAAAAGCAACCCATCTCTGCTTACCATCCTGAGGACAAAGGAGTTGGCGAAACAGGGTGATGTTTTGAGGATGACATTCCCGGTGCTGTGAGGAAAGAGCCTTCTATTTTAACTGCAGCTTTGCTGATAGAATAAGAACCTCCTATAAATAACGAGGAGCCACACAATAAAAGTTTCAGATTAATAACATTTGACTACACTGACCACCCTGGAAGAGATATCAAACACTTAAGGAAGAGAAGAAGGAAGGAGAAACTAAGATAACTGTGATATAGTAGTGGTGAGGATTCTTTTGTATTAAGTATGCTTAGAACAACTTGCTAGGACTGGTACTACAGGTGGAGAGAAAGAAATGTCAGATCTTCTCAGGAAGGTGGCAGAGGGGCGGGGGAGATGGCTCAGTAGAATAAGTGCTTCCCTGGCAAGCGCAAGGGCCTGAGTTCAATCTCCGGTTCCGCAAAAAAAAAAAAAAAAAAAAAAGGAAGGTGACAGAATCCACTGAACACTTCCAAATCATCCCTGCTGCCTCAGAAGGATGAAAGCATAATTTTGTAAGCTTTTAAGGAACTGATAGAACAAGCTTAATGATCCTATTTCATTTTCACCTATATCCCTGCTTAGCCCAAATCCATCAGGCCACTTCGACCTCTTCTTGGAATGGAGAACAAGTACTTTTAAATATTCCATTCACAGAGCAAAATCAAAGAGCACAGAATTGGCTCAACTATTTTATGAGCTGGTTACAAAAATAGAACTTTATTTGTCAGAGTATTTTATACTCATGGGAAAAAGAATGTGAGCATGACATGGTGTTCAGCCAAAGAAATAAAGTGTCCAGGCAGCATCCTCCTGTAAAGTTGTTGTGACATTAAGAATTTTGTCTGTTTTTTCCATTATTGCATCATCCATGTCTATTATAGTACCTGGCATTCACTATATTTTCCAAATAAAATTGAGGTAATGCATTAGTAAAGATTTTGGATAGATGTCAGAATCATAATAAATTCGTCGTTTCTAGTTTTCTTGAGGAATGGCTGAAAAACAACAATGTCCGTATATATAAAGTGTATGCGATGAAATTGTGAAATCATGACCATGACCAGACTAATTAACTTATCCATCGCCTCATCTAGTTACCCTTTAAAAAAAAAATAAAGCTTGTTTTCCTAACAATGTAAAGATACCAGCAAGAACATGGTCCTTGCATTAATACATCCAGAGAAAGAACGTCTTATTAAAAGGAGGCGTTCATCATCACGATAATTTACAAAACAGAATTACAATGAGAAAAGTTGGCCAGTGACTAGCCAGAAGAGAAAGGAGGCTTCTCCGTGTGATTTGGGGATTTGCAGGCTTACTGATGAGACATTATGGTTTATAGCTAGATGTCCTCCCTGATGTCCATGCCTGGATGTCCCTGCAAAGCCTCATATGCTTATAGGTGGGGCTTTGGGTGTGGGGAGCAGCTGAAGCTGGACATCTATCACACTTGTGGGACTAAAGCAAGACCAGCCCCAAGAACATGGAGCACCCAAGGAAAGCCACGTGAACAAGTTGCTGGGCAGAGGGGTTTCAGTTGACCATAGCCTTGCGAGTGTATAAATAAATATGCTGCAGTCATTCGGCAGTTCTTTCCTTCCTACCCAGAGAGGGGGCTCCACCTGACCTCAGCTTTGGATATCCTGACTCCTGGTTGGTCTTGACCCTCCACGTTCCCCCCTCTGAAGTTTTAGGAGCTGTGCTGGATGCGACATTCAGGGAAGTGATTGCATCATGGGTATGTGGTACTAATCAGTGAATTACTCAACTGATCTAATGATGAGTTTATAGCTAAATGTGATGTTAGGAGCAAAACCAGGTTGGACAGGGCAGGTTGCTACTGGCTGGTTTGGAAGGGTACATCTCCCTTCCTCGATAGCTACTTCCTTCCCACTGTCATGCCATAAGGAAGCCTCTTCTTCCATGCTGCCCTTTCTTGGAGACAGCCAACTATGGGCTGTTATGATTTATATCTAGTTGTCTCTCCAAAGCCTCATGCAATCATTAGGGCAGGCTTCTAGTATTTGTGATTAATTCATGATCCATTGCTGGAATTATGGGTATGAGTGCTACACCTGCCCTGGGGTGAATAATCTACATACAATATAAAGAAGGGAGAGAGGCTTGCTAGCTGCCACAGCTGCTGCTCCTCCCTTTGCTCTTTGCTGTTTTCGACCACCATGAACAGTTGCCCTTTTCCATGTGTCACTCTGTCTTGGAGCCAGCCAAGTGTGGACTGAAACCTCCACTAACTGTAAGCTAAATAAATCTTTCCTTCCTTGATTTGGGCTGTCAGATATTTTGTCCCAGCAACAACAGAAAAGTAACTGAGACAGACCTCTACCAGCTGTGAGCCAAAATTAAACCTTTCCCCTTTAGAGTTGTACGTATCAGGTATTCTGTCTCAGCAAATAATTTAAGACAGATTTTGGAACCAAAGAAATGGGGTCATTGCTGTAATGTTACCTAACCATGTTGTGTAAAAGCCTTTGGAACTGTCTCTGAGGAGAAGTTTGGAAAGGTTTAGAGATGGTGGTTGGAAAAACAGCCCAACAGTGCTGTGTGCCAAGTCAGGTAGGAGATCCTACTCAGAGATCAGAAGATCAAGATGTTGACTGTAATTCAGCCAGAAAAGACTAGGCTCAAGAGTATTCGGTTGAGAAAAGGAACTATACTGACAGTCGGGTTACAAGCTCTGTGTACTATACCCTGGAAGAAAATTTGTCAGCATTTTTCACACGTTTAGAGACTTGTTGGAAGACTGAGATTGAAGATTTCAGACTAATTAATCTGGAGGAGGAAATGTTAAGACAGCCAAACATTTAGGCTGTGGTTTGGTTACTGTCCGGGGCTTTTAGCTGGCTGTATGTTGTGAATCAAGAGCAAACCACCCAACAGAATGATTTAAAATGTTTCACATTTTGCTATAATGAAAGCTCCTATAAAGTTGGAGAAAACAGTTGCTGAAAAGATTAGCATTAAATATAAGCAAAGTGGTTTGAAATAAGACCATAGAAAAAAAGTGTCTTGGGAGAATGTGACAAAATCCCACTCTTCTCAAGCATAGAATTGCAAAGGTATAGGCTTTACTTTGAGAAGAGAGCCCCAGAGCCTCATGCTCCAGAATGGCAGCTGTGGAGCGAATTTTTCCCCTGGATTCTGTTCACCATGCTCAGACATCCAGTCACTCAGAGCCCTCTGCAACCAGCAGCAAAATGGAAAGGGGCCAGGAAATTGCTTCAGCAGTTGGCAGACCTTGGAATCATTCAGATGATTCTGGTTTTACATTTGTGCAAAATTCAGGTTTCAGAAGGCTTCTACACAGATTTCAGAAGGCCTAGAAGGCCAAAAAGCATGCCTCTGAGAGGCTAGTGAATAAAGCTGTGAGAATGAAACTGAAAGTTCAGGGGAGACCCAGAATACTGGAAAAGCCAAGGATGTGGACCATCTGAGCAAAATCAGCCCCAGAGAGGTCATGACAGGTTCAGTCACCACTTCAAGCAGTGCCTACTGGGTGGGGGTGCTTGGTGTGGCAAGATCACATCTTGCCATGGATTTC